AATGCATGTATGACACATTATACCAATATAATAGTATATAACATTTTCATAGGTAAACACCCCTGCCACACCTCACAATTCACCCTCACATATCTCCACACCTCGTCCACTCACAATCACACACAAGAAAAACTATGACACCCAGCTATCAGGTACTGCAAGACAAGACATTGTTGGTAAACATTATTCAAATACAACCTTGACCTTACTGGTCGGACTTGGTAAAATATCAACAAAGTTGACCCTAGCTGTCTACAGACTTGGTCCAAGTGAGTTGTATTATGTGAGGACACGATGACTAGAAACAACAATGTTGGATCACTGTGACCTCAACTGACCTAAATGACCCAGATTTTGACGCCAACAAACCACAGTTTTGATCCAGGTGAGTTCTGTTAAGTCATCACACGACGGCCGTGTTGACAATGTTGGACCACGGTGACCTCACCTGCCCTAAATAACCGAGATCTGACCCTAATTCTGGGTCCAGGTGAGTTTTACTCAGTCATACCATAACAAACACACCACCATTTTAAGACCACGGTGACCTGACTTGTCTTAAATGTCCCAGATCTGGTCCAACCTACTCCAGTCCTGGTCCAGGTGAGTTGTATTTAGACATCACGTGACCAACAACAACAATTGTATACAACACTGGCCTCACTTAGTCTGAATTAACGCTTTTTGTCCCTGAATGTTCACCATCTTGACGTTAATAAAATGTCCCCCTCGCTAGGTATAGTACAATACGATATTATTGTCATTATTTCTTAACAGGACTAAGGCTAGGGTCAGGGGTAGAACTAGGGCTAGAAAATATTTTGGATTTTCTCAACACATTCCGCTCTTAGTTTGATATTCTGTAAAACGCCACGACTAAGTAAGAATTACAATTTTATTTCTTACTAGATCTATAGTAATCCAATTTTAAGCATTTTATAGTATACGTTGTTTCTCACTTAGCCAGAAATGTGAGGTCACTGACAGTGTGTGTAATGTTTTGAACCCAATTCTTAATTAAGGCTAGTTAATGAATGGGTATGTTTATGATCGGGTCTGTTATTTTAAGTTGGGGTGTCTTAATAATAGTATGCTGTGATGTTGAAGCATGTCACTGACAGTGTTTCTTCCAGACTTTTTTCTCCGGGGGGGGGGGGGGGGGGGGGGGGGAAGGGGGGGGCACTTGATATTTTCGGGGGGGGGGGATGTCAACATTTTTCGGGGGGACGGGGGGGGGACACTAGTAAAAATGTACGTTTACTATATAAATTCCATCTCGTTTGGGGGGGGGGGGGGGCGGTAGACTTTCTTCCCCCCTCCCCCCCTCCCCCGGCCGAAGAGATGCCTGGAAGAAACTCTGGTCACTGATGGAATAGGTTGAGAGTGTGGTTTGTTAATGTTGAGGTGAGTTTAGCGATGTAATGTGGTATAGATGTATGCTACACCACCAAACTGAAAGAAAAAGCCGCCTTAATAACTGGTTAGAACAAATGGAGGTGGCGGAGTTTGTCGAGATGGGTAATGGGTTTGACCATTATTGTTGAAATGGATAAAAACATGTTTGTTGTTGTTTTTTTTTCGATTTTGCATCAAAGCGGCCGAAAAAAAAAAAATAAAGCCTGAACAAAACTGAAATGTAATATTTTTAGAATCGATATTTAAAAAGTTGAAATCCAGAAAACCAGGGGAAAAAAATTAGTTTAAGGATACATTTTTATTGATTTTTATCAAGTCTAATTTATAACCTAAATTTCACTTTCGTAAAACAAACATTGATTGGCTCCACAGGAACTCCGTGATCGATCATCTCAAAACCTCGCTTAATAATAATTTGTGCTCAAATTTTGCCGATAAAGTTTTTAAATTATTTTTTTTACCACATGACCTAGTTAAGCCATGTTTGTTCATTTTCATTGATAAAATAAAAACATTAAAATTATTTTTAGTGATAAAAAAAAAACTAAAAACACGGAACACATCCAAAATGTAGTAAAGTCTGACGTTTATTTATTTAACACCGCATATGATTTTAAAAATATTTTATTCACCATTCGAGACAAATCGCGCCAGCGTCCATTTAAAACAGAGATAAACATAAAAAATTGCACACCACAGTCGCGTGTACTGACTAGCACCATGTGTAGAACGGATGCCGAACCAAACCTGCCCGCCATTGATTCTAGAGTTGAACTCGTTCAGACCGTGTGAGGCATGCAAGATGTGTGCTCACTTCAAGGAAAACACTACTCACCACTGAGCTTCAGGCTACGTCACAGTGGTAAACCTGGTGTTTTTTTTTATAAACTAGGGCAACTAGACCTAGATTTAAGTCTAGATCCATTTACTGAAATCTTAAACTTTTTAAACTACAGCATTATTTTTACTTTCTCGTATATACGTAGTATAGAGAAAGTATTGTAATCGTGCAAAAAAAAAAAAATCGAGATTTTTACAAATCTCGACGTTTTACACCTCACTGATACGGAAAAACATAATTTTGCAATCTTGTCCGTATGTCTGTGTGTGTGTGTGTCTGTCCGTGTGTGTGTCTGTGTGTAAACACGATAACTTGAGTACCGTTACAGCTAGGTTGATGAAATTTCATATATAAGTATTTTATCAAAATCGTAGATCCGTATCAACTTTTGAGCGATTTCCGATAACCGGAAGTGGTACTTTTCCTACTTTGAATTTTTCAAAAGCCTATAACTTGAGTACTATTTCAGATAGATAAATGAAATTTCACATGTAAGTAAAAGATCTAATTCTCTACCTTCTGTTAAATTTTGAGTAATTTCCGTTGACTGGAAGTAGTAATTTACGCTACTTCCGATTTCTCAAAAAACTAATGTAAATTTTTAAAGTACTAATAATATTGCGCACTATTATACGCGTTTTTATTCGGCGTTTGCTTGGTGCGCAATGTTTTTTTTATGAGATTCTATTCTATTTTTAAAAGTTTAAGTATTTACAATGGATTAAAAATCATAACTATATCCCCAGTTACCATCCCCTGTTGTTTTATATAAGAATATTCGAGAAAGTTTAGGGGAGATCACTACCGGTTTATTTTTTTTTAATTTCAAACTTAAATGTACCCAAGCGAGAATAGTCTCGAAGGTTTTCCAGAGGCCCAATACATATTTAAAAAATCATGCGCTGTGTAATTAAAAAATATCAATATTAAAATTAATTTAAATTTTGACTGGGTTTTTTTCGAACTTTAAAAAGAGTAGATGTATTTGATGTTTTAGTATTTACGGTAATTAAACACTTTTTAAAAAAGGTAAAAGGGGTCAACCATAAATGACGTCACGCTTTTTTGGACGATTTTTACCCCCCCCCCCCCCTTCCGTCACACGTCGTCACAAAAAGCCAGCCCCCCCCCCCCCCCTAAAATGACGTCACACCTCAACCTACAACCCCCCCCCCCCTCTAAATTGCAGTTGAATTTTTTTTAAACATCGATATTTTTCTAAAATCTTGTCTAAACTATTACAATTTATTAAAACAGTTATCTAAAACGCGAAATAACGTCTAAAATTCTTTTTCTTACATAGCTTTTTTATAATGCAAAAGTGTGACGTCGCAACATCTGAACCCCCCCCCCCCCCCCCCCCCCCCCCCCCCTTTCCCCTCATCACACATCGTCACAAAATTACGGACCCCCTCTCCCCCCTACGAGTGTGACGTCATTTATGGATGACCCCAAAATGCGATTTGGTTTTCACGTGGTAATGGCGACATAAATAACATCCTGTTATTACATAGGCTAGCATAAATTTTATTTTACAAATGTAAACAAAAATATGGCAGAACTAGCTCGTGTGGTTTAAACTCGCATTGTGTTATTTAGAAACTTGATCTTCAATGTTTTGTAAACAAATAACTATCAATCACGGAGTTCCTGTACAGCCAATCAATGTTTGTCTTACAAAAGTGAAACATCCGGTTATAACTTAGACTTGTTGAAAATAAAAAGAAATGTAGCCTTAAACTCAACACATTATTTTCAAGTTCTCTGGATTTTCAACTTTTATAACATTGATTGTAAAAATATTACATTTCTGAATTGTTTTTAGGTTTAAGTCTTTATTTTTATTATTTTACGGCCGCAATGAAAAAAAAATGAATGTTATCCATTGAAGGATTGTCGTCATCTCGGTGGCTTCCATTACCGAAACACATTAGAACTAGATCAATGTAGCGCAATGTAGATCTACATGCTAATAATCACTCAAGGCTTAAGTGATCTTTAATTTAACACACTCTTTGATTGCCTATCTCAGTCTTCGTCTTCACATTTCTTGAGCTGCTATTTGAAAGCATTTGCCATTTATAAAATCGTTCCATACTTTTGTGTCCTTTGCTAAGTTTTACATTTCTTTCCTAATCACTACAGTAAAATACCCGTTTAAAAAATTCTTCCTTTTCTTGATCTGCGTGGATTCTGTTTGATGATTTGTTTGGTACGTTTGTTGCTGGTTCATCTTTTCCCCTGAATCTTGTTCCACAACTTGATTGGCTATCATACCAGAACATTATACCATCAAATCATTAGCATTAGGATAGAATTATGTTTGTGGACAAGCAAAGGGCCTGGTTTAAACCATTTCGCTTAGTAATTAAACAATTAAGTATTTATCATGTTTGAGAACAATAATTTTCTACTTAACGTTTGATTCTCGCTTGATGTCCTTTATATTGATTGTTTACTAAACCTGAAACGCTTGTATTTGTGCTATGTTCTAAATGTGAGCTAAATATCTAATCCCTTTAAATGTCACAGTTCCATACATTATCAATGAAATAAAATACACCTAATATGGTGTAATCAGTGCATAGATATACATAACGTCAAACCATTCAACGCCCTCATATATCACCCAACCATACACACCGGAATTCGTTGAAATATGACGGACAGGGTAAGCTATATTGTTTGGTTACACTCTGTGCCTAAAATGTCTTTTGTCAATTGTTTATTTCAGCTCGAGACATTCCTCATTGACCCCTAGATAGAACAGTGCTTTGTTTACCTCTCCACTCAGTCGGCTGCGAACATTCGAGATGCGCCAAACATCGGAACCAATGGGCTTCTTACAAACTGGTGACGTCACATCCGTTTCAAAAGACCACCCGCGAGCCAGCAGTGTTGACGGGTAAAAAAAAAAAATGATCCGCAGAAAGAGAGAGTCTTTCCTACAGCACCCCCTCCTAGCCTGTTGTAAGGTGACGTCATCGTCCACGTCAGCTAATCATCCGTTTGGTGGACGTCGCCTGATCGCCCACGACACTCTGCCAGAGTACAGCAACAGATCCCCGCCCCAGGAACGAGATCTCGTAGAGGAAGTAGAGTCGGGGCAAAGCACAGACAACAGTGACGGGCAGGATGAGGGGGGTATGTGGGTGGAGAGCGGCTCGAATCGAGGCGTCTGGGATTCTCAAGGTCAAAGTGAAAATGGCGACAGTACAGAGGAGGATGAGGAGACAGGTCATGACCTTGAAAACTTTAACGGTAATCGTCCACCAAATGAAAGAGGAAAAAACTGTCAAAGTTCAGAGATTAAAAGAGCAGAGATTAAAAGAGAAGAGATTAAAAGAGAAGAGATTAAAAGAGAAGAGATTAGCAAAGGTGGGAAAAGGAACAAATCAGGGGATTTAGAGAGTCAACATGAGAACGTGCAGAGAAAGACTGACAGAAGCGAAGTAGACAGTGACAACAACTCAATGTATGTATTTCTTTCAATAGATCAGTCATCTCCCTAATGCCTAATGTATTTTCAAGCGCTAATGCATTCCCCCACGATATAATTCAAGTTTAATAATATAAATATCTTAAAAATACGATTATATGTATTAAGTGTAAACCAATATAATAAGTAATTTGATTGATTTAATATAGTTTTAATAACTTAGTTCTGCTAGCTTTTACCATACAAAAACCACATTAGAAAATGTATCTTTATTCTTCAAACGAGTCTTTGTAATTTGAAATTAGAACTAATCCTCGGACATTCAGATTTATCATTTTAGTGGAAATTGTGTGAGTTTTGTTTCAGCTACATGAATTTTTTTTTTCTTTACATTCGTAGAGCCTCCGAATTGAACAACACGGACTGGTCCGAGTATTCTGATCAGGAGCTGAAGGAGGCGACCAGAGGTATTTCAGCGCTGAGACCTGACAACAAGCGCAGTGCCGACAGATCCAACCCGCCCAGAAAACCGTTCACACGTTCCAGCAAGGTCCAGGAGATGGCACACAGCCATGTCGCAGAACTGCCGTCCCGATTTGAGAGCGGGGACTCTGGAAACCAACTCACTTTGGCCGTGCGCGCGATTCAAAACATGCAACGAAATACTGAGAGGAGCTTTAGGATGATGAGAAACGGCAAGGCCACTAGCCAGAAGACAGAGGGCAGGGCCGCTAATCACAGGGCAGAAGGCAGGGCCGATAACCACACGGCAGAAGGCAAGACCACTAGCCACAAGACGGAAGGCAAGTCCGCTAACCACATGGCAGAAACACAACCACAAGAGAAGAGCCCAAAGAGCGAGGAGAACTTAAAGAGAAGCTACAGCAGCGTGAGCACCTTTGTCTGGCACAACACGGTCAAGGTGAGCAGTATACACGACGGCGGCGAAAACGTCAACGAAAACTCTAGCCAGAAGTCAGCCTCAGGCGAGCATGACGGAGACGATCGCAACGGTTTAGAAAAATGCGATCAGCAAGAGAAACACGAGTCACGCGACGTACACCGCTCCAAGAGCGAACCGACCAACAGGACTTTGGCCGAACATGTCAGAAAATATGACGTCAACACCAACGCCCACGGGGACCAGGCGCCCCAGCCCACAATCATCGCATCCAAGCCCACACACGGCAGCCAAAAATTCCTGGTCCGAAAAGACAAACAGTGGAACGGCGGAGATGGTTCGGATCCCTCGTACATCATCCACATCGAGTCCCAGACAGACCAAGCCTCCAACAGTCAGCCTAGCGGCACCAGCAAGACACCCCACGAGACGAGGAGACGACGGGGCGACATCGTGAAAATGAGACGAATGGAACTGTCCAACGAAGCGTCGCATCAGTCCGAGTCAAGCCAGCCGGCCATTGATGCTGTCTCAACGCCAAAGTTAAACGAGGGGGGCAAGTCTTTTAGTACAGATTGCACTAAACAGACGACTGGGCAGTCAGCCAGTAAATATGAATCAACACCCATGCCTTCAAAGCTAAGTATAAACGAAGCTCATTCCAGACAGAACAAGAATTCCTCGCACGAAATTGAAGGCCCAAGTCACGTTAGAACCTCTAGCAGGGGGAATAGAAGCCATCGCCTCATCGACCACCTGGAGAGAAAGGAATCTCACAGCGACAGTGTAATGCCGGACAGGCATTTATCTCGCAGTCCTGGAGTTCGAGAATCTTCTGAAAGTGAAAAGACTAAGACCACCGTTAATGTCTTAAGGAAACCTGATCAAGTAACGGACACGCAAGTAGCCGCTGACGCCCTAGAAGTGAGGTCACTGTGTGGACTGAAGGCCAACAAATGTGACCGCATCGTTTGGAGCACAAAAAAACAAACGGAGAACGGCAACAGCTCTCAGTCAAATGTCAAGGGAAAGAATAAGGAAAGGGACGAAAGCGCATCTGTTATTCATGTTTACTCCCCGTATGAGAAAGGGAAAGTCAGTCGACCCGGTTCATTGTTTTACAGGCGATCGCCGGCCCGGAAACCGGCGGGCGAGAATACATCAGACGGACGGGCGACACACAGCGAGGCCGACACACGTCAAGTCAACACGGAGTACGAGAGTCATGTGGTATACAACGGTGTAAGGTGTGTCAAGGATCAGGCGTGTCAGTACTCACCACCGGGGTGTGTCGGCGCGTGGGAGGAGGACACGGGTGAGCTCCAGTGCTTGAACTGCAGCAGTGATCGCATAGGACGGAAAGATGAAAACAAACACAATCAACAGCCGAACAGCTCGGTACTAAGTTCATCACACAATCAACAGCAAAACAGCTCGGTACTAATCTCGGCACACAATCAACAGCCAAACAGCAGGGGTCTCAAGACTTCACACAAACAACAGCCCAACAGCACTGGACTAAATTCTTCACACAATAGCGAGCATACCAAAAGCACAGAGTTAAGTTCTCCGCACGATTCGCCTAAACGGATATCTGTTCGCACAAAAACAATCACAAATAAACAATGCACGAACAACATTAGAACAGCGTCCGAGGAACGGAAAATGTGTTCCGCCACCCAAGGAAAACCTAAGCCCTACGATCGCGCATCATCGGCGGGATCCTCGCAACAATCCTCTCAACAATCCTCGCAACAATCCTCCCAGCAAACCCCGCCGAGAGCGGCACAGAACGGTGCACCCAGACGTCGACACACTGCACCAAAGCCAACAGCCGACACGTCCACCCATGCGCCTGCTCACCCAGGTGTGGTGTATCGCACCAGGCGTGGCCCTGCCTTCTACGATCTGGAAACCATAGAACCAGTGTCCCCACTACCGTCCTGGGCCGCACAGAACTACAACCCCAACGCCAACTTCGGATCCAACCGGTCATCACCATCGACCCCTTTAACCAAGCGACTAACCACTCAGCCGTATCTGTCCGACAACGCCCCCTCCCCATCCTTGTCTGACAACGACATCGTCACGCTTGAGGAAGCACGTCTCAATGAAAACTACTCCAACCAACACTCGGTCTTCTCCAGCGAGGCTGAGCAGGACGAACAAGAGCTAAAAATAGAACCCATGACGCCACCGATTCTCCTAAAGAACAGGCCGAAAGACGAGCCGTCGCCCAAGTACAGCGCCCCCATGTCTCTAGACAAGCTACAGAAGCTGATCGAGGAGGCCAAGGCCAACAGCAGGTCCAATGTGAAAATACTCGACCAGAATACCAACTTTGATGGCGAAATCACGTACACGGAGAAAGAACCGGTCGACGTGTCCAACACATTCATCGGAGAGTACCTGTACAAGTTATGGAAGAACGAATGCCTCTGTGACGTCAAGGTTTCGGTAAGCTTTCTGTTCATGTTTCCCGAAGTATTAAACTTTGAGGTTTTTTTTTACACATTTACTAAAAATATTCAAATTTTGTTTTGAAAAAAAAAACGCTACCTGGCAACTCAGCATTAAATAAATAAATAAATAAATAAATAAATAAAGACTCCACTGAAACAGCCTATAATCTCAGCCATGTTGTACAAAAGATGCATTTAGCTCTGTTTAGCTGACGGATACATGTGAAAAAGTCAACAGTATGGTACAGATATTGAACGTTACATTATGAATGTAACGCGTGTACAAGAACTGTACTGCAATATTTCTCAGTAGTCTAAATAAAGCAACACTAAAATAAAATATTTTAAAATGGTTTTAAAAATTTCTTTTTTTTTTTTTAAACAAAGGTAGGAGAAGTAGATTTTTTCGTCCACAAGTTGGTGTTAGCCGCCTTCAGCAACGTCTTCTGTCCATCGACGCCCCAGCCGCCCCCTTCCGTGGCCTTCAGGGTGCCTTGCTCAACACCCGATGCCGTGCACCAGGCAAGTCCAAGACTGCTTCAGTAAACTTAAGTACGCCGGGTCGTTCGTAAAGGACGTCACACTTCTTGGGTGGGGGGGGGGGGGGGGTGACGAGAGGTGGGGGAGTAAGAAAGTGTGAGTCACACTTGCATTTTAAAAAGCTAAATATAGGAGTTTTTTTTACGATTATCGATTTATCGATCAATTGATCTAATATTTTCGAGGATTTGCTAACATTTCAGTGTAAAATTATGATTAGCGATGTTTTCAGCTAAGTCAACAAAGCAACGGTTTAACAAACAATATTATTTGCGGAATTTCCTTGCAAAGGGAAAAAACTTAGTTAAGGCTTCCAGCAAAATCAACATTACTTGGTTAAATCCCCTTGTGACGCCTTCAATATTTATAGAAATTAGCGGGATACCTCCATTATAGTATGGGGGGGGGGGGGGGGAGTGAGGGCCTTGATTTATTTTTCTGAAGTTAAGTGGATATGATGGGAGTCGTGTGTGAATGTATGTGTGTGTGTGCGTGTGTTTGTTTGAAGAGGGGGTAGGGTAAAACTGGGCAAAAAACAAAGTGATTTCTAGGCGACGCTAAATTAAAGTACTTTATAAAAGTTCACCTATAAGACAAAATATTAAACAAGTACTATCAATTAACAATAACCTGCAAGTACAATATAAAAAAAAGGTTAGCCTTTTTTTAACAGACATAGTTTTATAGTTACTCACATAGTTAAAAAAAAAAGACAGGGTTACGTTACAAACACTTTGACCCTTAACCTCTGCCGGGCAGATCTTCAACTACATCTACACCTCCAGCATGGAACTGAGAGACGAACTGCTAGAACCCATCCTCAGCGCTGCCATCTTCATGGGCATCTCAGAGGTCGTAGAGGTCATCAACGAAATTTTGATGAAACCTACCATGGAAAATCTCGAGGTGGCTAAATAAACACTTTTCATTTTAAATTTAAAAAAAAAACACTATATGACAATATTAACACACACATACACATTTACCATAGAAAACATTAACGTGTAAACCCACAATATACACTAATGTGTCAACATACAACATAATGTGCCAATACACAACACTAAGTCCTCATGTGTTAACAATTCATCGTATACAGCTGGTTTTATAATGTTGTAAAAAGTAAAGTAAAGTTTCCCTTTCAAACCTGACGGTCTATGGGGCAAGTGAAGTAGAGTTCACTTGTTTCTGTGACCTCGGCATATGAAGAGATAGTGTGGTCAGCACTATGCCCAGCCGCCTTTACTCTCCCTAACATCAGTTAGGTACCCATCAGAGTTAGGTGGACTCAGGGACGGTGTACTGACTTGAACCCGGATTCGAACTCGAGACTTTCGGGTTAGCAGTCCAGCTCTATAATGTTGTAAATGCTATTTATTTTTGTAATACATTATTTAGTAACTTGATAATTTACTATAACATATTACTATCCCAATAAACATGAAATGAACGTAATGATATGATTGAAACACTGGGTTTAAAGAACGTTTTTTTAATCTTCCGACTAGCTGTACATTTGCATCAAGAGACGCCACGGGCTGCAGAGTAGCTTGGTCGACTACCCGGATATCTACAGGAATTTTTTTGTCGAGTTGAGTAACCACGAGGCGTTCTTTAAAATGACAGTCAACGAGGTAAGACGCCGCTCATGGTGGGGTGCATTGCAATCTAATTACAACTATAGCTTTGTGGTTCATTGCAATCTAATTACAACTATAGCTTTGTGGTTCATTGCAATCGAATTACAACTATAGCTTTGTGTTTCATTGCAATCGAATTGCAACTATAGCTTTGTGGTTCATTGCAATCTAATTACAACTATAGCTTTGTGTTTCATTGCAATCGAATTACAACTATAGCTTTGTGTTTCATTGCAATCGAATTGCAACTATAGCTTTGTGGTTCATTGCAATCTAACTGCAACTATGCGTTTGTGGTTTATTTCAATCTAGCTGCAACTATACGTTTGTGGTTTATTTCAATCTAGCTGCAACTATACGTTTGTGGTTTATTAAATGCAGCTATTATATAGGTTTGTGGTACATTATAATCTAACTGTAATTTTACCGTTGTGGCTCACTTCAATCTAACTATAACCATACGTTTGACTACAACTATACCTTTGAACTAATGAGCACACACAATGTACTCGCTGGATGTAAACAAACGCCGATGACTCTGCTCACAGTTTGAGGAACTTCTCAAAGACCCAGAAGTGCTTGTGACCAGCGAGCTGGACACGATTAGCGGCATCGCCAACTGGGTCAAGTACAATGCCATCGACCGGATCAACTGCCTGTCCCGACTTCTCAAGTACGTGAGTTTTGAGAGTATCTCACCCAAGCTGCTGGCCTCTATCTCGGAGAAGTACAACTACCTCTTCAACGTGCCGGGCGCTCCACAAGTCATCAGTGAAGCTTTTAAGTCAGTCTAACTGTGGGTTGTGTCGTTCGATTATCATTAGCACATTGACTGGACAGGACCTTTCAGTAGCACATTGACCGGACAGGACCTTTTAGTAGCACATTGACTGGACAGGACCTTTCAGTAGCACATTGACTGGACAGGACCTTTCAGTAGCACATTGACTGGACAGGACCTTTCAGTAGCACATTGACAGGATACGACCTTTCAGTAGTAAATTGACTGGACAGGACCTTTCAGTAGCACATTGACAGGATACGACCTTTCAGTAGTACATTGACTGGACAGGACCTTTCAGTAGCACATTGACAGGATACGACCTTTCAGTAGTATATTGACAGAACAGGACCTTTCAGTTGCACATTGACTGGACCTTTCAGTAGCACATTGACAGGACAGGACCTTTCAGTAGCACATTGACAGGATCTTTCAGTAGCACATTGACATGACCTTTTAGTAGCACATTGACAGGGCCTTTAAGTAGCACACTGACAGGATCTTTCAGTAGCACATTGACATGACCTTTTAGTAGCACATTGACAAGACAGGACCTTTCATCAGTACTTTGACATGGCATGACCTTATAACAGCACATGTTCGTGTCTTAAAAAGTTAATTAGCACATTGACATGATATGACATGACAGCTTATTAAACCAAATTGACACCACATGACTGTTGATTATCACAATGACATGACCGTTCATTAACATGTTGACATAATATTGCCGTTCATCAGTATTTTGAAACAAAAGTTTAACTAGCCCATCTTCCATTTATGGTAGCTTACGTTATCACATTGACCAAACGTGTCTTCAATATTACTCATGGACTGGTACTAAATACACACAATCAAAATAACCCATTTGGAAGTTGTATTCAAAGTGACACAATATTTCACGCCAAAGTTCAACTGGACACATGTCTTCAACTGGACACATGTCTAAAGTTCAACTGGACACATGTCTTCAACTGGACACATGTCTAAAGTTAAACTGGACAAATGTCTAAAGTTCAACTTGACAAATGTCTAAAGTTCAACTTGACAAATGTCTAAGTTAAACTGGACACATGTCTAAAGTTCTCAACTTGATATAATTTTGACAGGTTTCATGCTCTGAAACTAGAAAACAGATGCTGCAATCTTTCAAGTGTGAGTACGCTCTGCGTGATTTTTTACAACCCTTTACATCATTCGAACAGTTAACATCATACTAAACCCTTTACATCATTTGAATAGTGAACATCATACTAAACCCTTTACATCATTCTGAACATGTAGCATTATACTAAATCATTTACATCATTTGAATATTTAACATTATACTAAACCCTTTACATCATTCTGAACATTTAACATTATACTAAACCCTTTACATCATTAGAACAGTTAACATAATACTAAATCCTTTACATCATTCGAACAGTTAACATCATACTAAACCCTTTACATCATTTGAATAGTGAACATCATACTAAACCCGTTACATCATTTGAACAGTTAACATTATACTAAATCCTTTACATCATTTGAACAGTTAACATCATACTAAACCTTTTACATCATTTAAACAGTTTACCTAACTCGAATCCTTGACATCACTCTAAACATTGGTGTTTATAAACTCAGATTATTAAGGTTTATAAATTGTATTTCCTCAGCCTTGCAAAACGTCTAAGAAGTCCAATCGAAGTGAGTAGCGCTCTATTACATTTTTAATTTACCTCCATTTAAAAAAAAAATTAGACAACCATCGATGTTGTTAGACTAGACATTATTTATGTCATAACTTATAGGGCTGGTGAGTAGGTCACTAACCAGTTTACGGCTCAATGGTCCTAGGTGCTTTGACCACAGGTGCTTTGATCACAGGTGCTTTGACCACAGGTGCTTTGACCATAGGGGGTTTGACCATAGGGGGTTTGACCATAGGGGGTTTGTCCACAGATGGGTTTGGGTCAAAACCCCTATGGTCAAAGCCCCTCTGTGGTCAAACCCACTATGGTCAAACCCCCTATGGTCAAAGCACCTGTGGTCAAAGGTCCGCTCAATAAAACCTGCATGAGCCATAGAACTGGTTGATGACCTACTTACCAGCCCTATAGCGGAGTATTTCGTACGCAATGGCTACTGCGATTCTAATCTCTAAATATCGTTTTGTCATTGCAATCCATGTTTTGCAGGTCACAAAAGTAAAAAGAAATTCTCTAAGAAGAACATGTACACAAGCCCGGGCCCCTGCCGACCGGGGCACATGAACATCATGTACCCCCGTCCCTCGAGGTGTTGCTACACCAGCCCCTGCTCCCCCAGCCGGCGCTTCAACTACATCGGTACCAACACGTGCAGGAACTCATCCGTCTGCTGTGATCCCAACCCCGTTTCTACAACCGTGCACCGTGATCCTAATCCCAAATCGACCAATTTGCACTGTGACCCCAATCCTATTTCTACAAACTTATACCGTGATCCTAATCCCAATTCTACGACTCTACACCGTGAACCCAATCCCAACTCGGTCAAGTTTGACGTCAACCCCTCCAGCTACACGCGGAGTGGACGTCACGGCCACGCCCACTCCAACCAGACCAACTCCAACGTCGTCAACCCGGAACTCAACGTCATGTCCAACAACTGCAACGTGGAGGTCAAGCCGGACGTGGTGCACCACATCAACATGAAGAACACGCCCATCAACATGAAGAACACGCCCATCAACCGCTCCATCTCCTCGCTGTCCGGCGGTGCCATCCTCCCCGGCAAGCGCCAGCCCTCCGTCACCACGCGGCATCCGGTCAAAGACATGTGGCACCACGACACAGCCAACGACGACGACTCACATAAGCAGTGGAGGTCAAGTTCAGGGTCACAAAGGCCCAGATCACGTCGAGGAAAACTGATGAATCAGCGAAATATTGCGGGGTTCAACAACAATGCTGCGGACTACGATTTGCTGAGTCAGCTCAACCCTCCACATCTGACCGACAACTGGCCCATCGTGCTAGGCGAGAGTTCGTGCTACAATGACTCTAATTACGAGGCCATATGTGAGACTCCTAGCTATCAAAATCCAAACTACGAACTATCTTGTGATTCTCCTAGCTATCAAGATTCCACGTGCGAAATACCGTGTGAAACTCCTCGCTATCAAAAGTCAAGCTATGAAATAATCTGTGAAACTCCTAGCTACCAAAACTCAAATTACGAAGTATCCTGTGATACTCCTAGCTATCAAGACTCCACGTGCGATATACCTTTTGATACCCCTAGCTATCAAAATCCCACCTGCGTCGAAATACGTAACGATTCATGCTACCAAGTTTCCAACCCTTTTTCTCACAAATCCAACCACGTAGATAAAAGTTACACTTTAGAACAAAGAAAGCAAGACATTCCTGCTCAGTCTAAAAATGACACGAATATAGCAGAGTTATTTATGGGTGGCGTTGATGAACGGGAAACGACTCGGCCACGAGATAGAACTGTAACGAACGGAAGGGTCCGTTTCGCAAAAGGAACTTCTTTCGTAGCCAAAAGCTCAGACTGTGACCACGCCCCTGCCGAGAGTAATTCTGAAGGTCAGAAGACAACAACTACTGACCATGCTGGGGACAAACGCGTGCATTCTTCCAGGAGGTTGGCGAACGCTGCACATTTCTGGCATCCATTTCATCAAGCAACAAGACACATGGTAGCCAGTGACCTTGATAACGACGTCTTCTGTTCAACCGATGCTCCCAGCATGCAAGGCGATGTCTCTCCCAGTGAAACAAATATGGCGGACAGACAGAACTGGGTGGGCAATGCCAGCTCGCCGCCTGTAGTTCTTGACATACAGGGTCAAATCTCACCAACGGTCAGTTCTGCATCTGGACATCATGTTGAGCTTGGTCAAAGGTTTCAGAAGGTCGCAGTCCGCGATGAAGCTGATGATTTAATCGCCTTTCCTAAACATGCCGCTTTGTTTAAAGAGAATGCTAGGCCGCGTAAACATGCCAAAGATGCAATGAATGAACAAGCTAATGTGAAGAATCTAAATACAAATAACATGACTTCTAGCATTGGTACTAAAAGCTCCAAGACAGAGAAAGGAATGGCTCGCCGCAGGTCTGGTATTCCAGACAAGAAGGTCAGCTCGTCCACAGGAGGTCACTCAAGGGTCACTCGAGGATTGTCACTTCTAGGTCATGATGACCAGACATCGGCCTTTAGGGTCTATAAACCCTAGTGAGCTGAACCACCGAACCCAACCAGCGAACCCAACTAGCGAACCCAACCAGCTAACCAAGCCAGCAGTCCCAACCAGCGAACCCAACCATCGACGTATAGATGATATTGACACTGGTGAATGTGATTGGTTTTATTTCACATGAACTCAAGCGCTATTCATTCGCTTTTTATTATTGCTTGGCTAAACGTAGATAAAAACAGAAAAAAGGTGCGAAAAATATTTTAGAATCAAGAAATATAAAAGCGTATGTGATAAATAAATACAACAAATATATTACCATAGTGAATGTGAAAGTATAGATATTTAAATGAGACGAATTATAGAAGTTTACACAATTTTATTTTACATTTTTTAAAAACATTTTACAACGTTTGAGGTTTACACAATTTGAATTTAGAGTTTTAATTTACCGACATTTGAACGAAACTTTACAAATAGTTTTATTAGTTATGACGGGTTAAATGTGATTTGAATGGATGAATACACTTCTGATCTAAAAACCCTTGTTTTAGTCTTCATTTTACGTTACTTGTGGCCTTTGTAAGAACAGTTGTAATTTTAACTACTTTCCATGCCTTGATGTATGAGAATGAACTCCCCTTAAGTATTGACAAATACTTACATAATTAAAAACATATACCTATGATTACGAGCGATCGAGAAAAAAACTAAAACAAAATTATTTAGAATTTGAAAGATAATAGCTAACCCTAAGGACATGTAAATACAGAGACTTTTAATAACGGGAAATGATTTCATAAACAATCTACAGCTTCTAGCTAAGTCAAAACGTTCAATTTGTGATCATGTTAAAAAAACTAAACTTTGTTTTGAATGTGCACAATAAATATTTCATTAGATTTCGATACAACACAAAACTAACCAACTCACAAAAAAACAGATTATTATTCAAAAAAGCTTTTTTACTTGTTTCTAATACTATTGTCTTATTCCGATTTTGATGACGTCAGTAATGCACACAGTTGCAGTAGGCGGGAACGTTGAAGAAATCAAACGTGATTGGCGGGTACATGATGACGTCATACACGAGTAAACACATGGTCACGGTCCCCTGGAGACAGTGACCATTTAGGTCATAGCTGTCGCTTCTAGAAACATAGGATAGACACACACATCAGTCAAATTTAGATAAGCAGTAGCAGATCTAAAGCTAAATCAAATTAATATTATCACAATCTTTCTTGACTACTTTTCTTTCTTTTTTATAATCATCTTAATTTATAACATTTTTAATTTACAATATTATAAATTTATCTTTTTTTTTCAATTGCAAACCATTTAATTTCAGGGTCTTTTCTACTCCCAACAAATTCATCAAATTTTCATTTCCCCAAACATTCTGAATTGAACATATCTTTTGTTTTGTAAATCGCAAATCCTATTCTCAATTTCCAACTTTTTGTTGACATTTCTTTCGGAACCCAATATTCTCTACTCATCCCATTCAAAATTCAATATATACTTAATACACCTCATGATTTGATGATAAACAGCAATTTTGTAGACACACTTTGATGTGACTCTGGGATAATTAAGCTCACACAAGTGACCATGAGATGATGTGATATATAAGCTCACACCAGTAATGATGGGATACTTAAGCTCAAACCAGTAATGATGGGATACTTAAGCTCACACTAGTAATGCTGGGATACTGAAGCTCAAACCAGTAATGATGGGATACTTAAGCTCACATCAGTAATGATGGGATACTTAAGCTCACACCAGTGACCATAGAATACTTAAGCTCACACCAGCAACATTATGAACGTTTACTCACGCACAGAGTCCGTGTTGTATAAACTGATACCGGGGCGGGTCGGCGCTGGAAAAATGCACCAGTCTCCTCTCCACACCGTAAACATTCTTTAAGGTTTCATTGGCGGAGTAGAAGCGTAGCCTGGAAGGTGAGACAATCGTTCTTTGATTGGGTACATAGTTTTATCGACATACAGGTGTGTACGCAAACAATACACATACAGGTGAGTAGGAAATTTAATCAACATACAGATATGTAGGCCATTTTATCAACATACAGGTGTGTACACCAACTTAAGCAACATACAGGTATGTAGGCAATTTTATCAACATACAGGTGTGTACGACAATATAATCAACATACAGGTGTGTGCGCCAACTTAAGCAACATACAGGTGTGTACGCCAACTTAAGCAACATACAGGTGTGTACGCCAACTTAAGCAACATACAGGTGTGTACGCCAACTTAAGCAACATACAGGTGTGTACGCCAACTTAAGCAACATACAGGTGTGTACGCCAACTTAAGCAACATACAGGTGTGTACGCCAACTTAAGCAACATACAGGTGTGTACGCCAACTTAAGCAACATACAGGTATGTAGACAATATAATCAACATACAAGTGTGTACGTCAACTTAAGCAACATACAGGTGTGTACGCCAACTTAAGCAACATACAGGTGTGTACGCCAACTTAAGCAACATACAGGTATGTAGACAATATAATCAACATACAAGTGTGTACGTCAACTTAAGCTACATACAGGTGTGTACACCAACTTAAGCAACATACAGGTGTGTACGCTATCTTAAGCAACATACAGGTGTGTACGCCAACTTAAGCAACATACAGGTGTGTACACCAACTTAAGCAACATACAGGTGTGTACGCCATCTTAAGCAACATACAGGTATGTAGACAATATAATCAACATACAAGTGTGTACGTCAACTTAAGCAACATACAGGTGTGTACGCCAACTTAAGCAACATACAGGTATGTAGACAATATAATCAACATACAAGTGTGTACGTCAACTTAAGCAACATACAGGTGTGTACGCCAACTTAAGCAACATACAGGTGTGTACGCCAACTTAAGCAACATACAGGTATGTAGACAATATAATCAACATACAAGTGTGTACGTCAACTTAAGCTACATACAGGTGTGTACACCAACTTAAGCAACATACAGGTGTGTACGCTATCTTAAGCAACATACAGGTGTGTACGCCAACTTAAGCAACATACAGGTGTGTACACCAACTTAAGCAACATACAGGTGTGTACGCCATCTTAAGCAACATACAGGTATGTAGACAATATAATCAACATACAAGTGTGTACGTCAACTTAAGCAACATACAGGTGTGTACGCCAACTTAAGCAACATACAGGTGTGTACACCAACTTAAGCAACATACAGGTGTGTACGCTATCTTAAGCAACATACAGGTGTGTACGCCAACTTAAGCAACATACAGGTGTGTAGGCCAACTTAAGCAACATACAGGTGTGTACGCCATCTTAAGCAACATACAGGTATGTAGACAATATAATCAACATACAGGTGTGTACGTCATCTTAAGCAACATACAGGTGTGTACGCCAACTTAAGCAACATACAGGTATGTAGACAATATAATCAACATACAGGTGTGTACGCCATCTTAAGCAACATACAGGTGTGTAGGCCAACTTAAGCAACATACAGGTGTGTACGTCAACTTAAGCAACATACAGGTGTGTACACCAACTTAAGCAACATACAGGTATGTACACCAACTTAAGCAACATACAGATATGTAGACAATATAATCAACATACAGGTGTGTACGCCAACTTAAGCAACATACAGGTGTGTAGGCCAACTTAAGCAACATACAGGTGTGTACGTCAACTTAAGCAACATACAGGTGTGTACACCAACTTAAGCAACATACAGGTGTGTACGCCAACTTAAGCAACATACAGGTGTGTACGCCAACTTAAGCAACATACAGGTGTGTACGCCAACTTAAGCAACATACAGGTGTGTACGCCAACTTAAGCAACATACAGGTATGTAGACAATATAATCAACATACAAGTGTGTACGTCAACTTAAGCTACATACAGGTGTGTAGGCCAACTTAAGCAACATACAGGTGTGTACGCCAACTTAAGCAACATACAGGTGTGTAGACAATATAATCAACATACAGGTGTGTACGCCAACTTAAGCAACATACAGGTGTGTACGCCAACTTAAGCAACATACAGGTGTGTACGCCAACTTAAGCAACATACAGGTGTGTAGACAATATAATCAACATACAGGTGTGTACGCTATCTTAAGCAACATACAGGTGTGTAGACAATATAATCAACATACAGGTGTGTAGGCCAACTTAAGCAACATACAGGTGTGTACGTCAACTTAAGCAACATACAGGTGTGTACGCCATCTTAAGCAACATACAGGTGTGTACGCAACTTAACCACATACAAGTGTACACGGAACAAAAACATAGAAGAGTACAAAGCTCAACATACAGGTTAGTACGAACCATAACATACATACAGGTGTACACAGCTTCTAAAATATGCGCATGTGTTCTTTTAAATAACAACATAGGGCAATTAGCCCATTTTAGCTGTATATAACTGAATACATAATGAGGTTTGACAAATAGATACGCATATTTACATACAGTGGCGTAGCCAGGATCGTCTCAAGGGGGGGGTCCAATTTTTACCCGGGGACTATCTTTCGATTTGCACCCCCCCCCCTCAGACTTTTGATTTGCATCCCCCCCTCAAACTTTCGATTTGCACCCCCCCTCATACTTTATATATATAAAGTCAACCCCCCCTACCTACGCCACTGTTTATATAGCAGCAACACACGTCATAGAGCTCATAAGACAGCAGGAACCTACATCGGACAACATCCGTTAATGTACGACAATGTCTTGAAGGTGCTTGACACTGTGTTTTTTAGAACCCTTTGTGTGCCGTTGCCATAGTAACTAATCGTCTCGTTTCCGAAGGCAATCACAGTCATTGCGGAATTGGGATCGTTTGGGTTCATTAGTTCTGCAAGAGAAAAAAAAACCTTGAACTTGTGGGTTTAAAAAAAGTAACGAAATGAGAGCGCACATGTGGGCTAGAGTCCACCCAGCTCTTATGGGTACCTAGCTAACTTTAACTCTGGATTTGAGCTCGTGTCTTTCGGGTTAGCATTCAAGCGATAAAGTTATTAGCTATTTGAAAGTGTACTTTTATATTTATGAAAAGCTATACAAGTAATTAAGTAAAGGTTAATCATTTTTTAAATGATAGAATCATGAAAAGATTATGATAAATTGTAACAATGAAACAGTTTTTATTGTTGATGAAAAAATTTTCATTACTCGTTTTGTTGACCAGCGCTTCTACTGTCATGAAAGCCGGGGCGAAATTAGCAGGAAGGTCTTCGAAGTTGAATTCTATAGTGAGTTGTCGGTCTTTGTCTAAAGACTGGGATATCGAGGGTTGAGCTTCAGAGGGGCTGTATTGCGATGAGGAACCTGGGCTTGTTTCCAGAGGCTGTGGGCTTTTGATCTCTGTCGTGGAAAGTGGGCTTGCTAAAGATGGGATTCGTGGCTTAGTGGTTAGGTTAATCACTTGATCAGAGGCTGTTCTTGTCGTGCTAGGCTGCAGGGTTTTAACTGTGGTGGTGGTAGAAGCTGGGTTGTATTGGGTGATAGGGCGGGGTTGTTGTGGGGATGGGGTGGGGTTGGCGGAACCGTTGACCGGGATGGGTTGTGGTTGTAGGAGGCTGGTGTTGAGAAGTTGTGAACACAACAAGGACTTTGGGCACAGCAGCTGGTAATTCATAGCCTCGAGGTTAGACGTTCTGTCAAAGGTTGAAATTATCAGGTGACAAAAGTATATATGTACATATATATATATATATATATATATATATATATATATATATATATATATATATATATATATATATATATATATATATATATATATATATATATATATATATATATATATATATATATATATATATTACACTTGCAATATAAATTCTAAGACTTATCAGTAAAATCACATTAAAATAACTGGGTTTTTTTTTTGTTTGTGTTTTGTTTACCTTTTAGGGGCTGAATGAGTCACGTGACAAGCAATGAGTAGCGTCAAAGATCCGTACAGAAAGATGGCGGCCATCATCTGCAAATAACAAGCAAGTCATTATATTCTGTTTACTAACACTAGTTCATTTCGTGATGGTGGTACATACTAATGTGTATAATTGCTCTCTGTAAGATATTGATGGCGCTCTGTTTGTATAAAGAAACTTTAAAATGAGGTTTTTAGAACTTTGAAACTCAACCGTTATTTAAAATATAAAAATTTAATTTATTTAAAAAAAAACTGTACATACAATTAAATCATGTGAGGTGAAACCAGTATCAAAGTTTCTTTCATACATTTTTATCCTAGAGGTAGGTGGGGTGTTTTAAGGGGCGCGGACTTAAATTTCGGAGATGGAGGGGATGGGGAAGGGGAGGAGACTACTCTAATTACATACAGGTACATAAACATGCAGCTCTATTTGGCTCAATGTGGCTCAATGACTATCTTTATATCGCGGCTCTTGTTATCAAGTTTCGGAAAATTAAAAATACTCGACTTAACTCATGTGGCTAGTTCTAGTTGTATATAAAATAGTTTATATACCTGGGGTGAACACTTGCTTGTATGTGGTCATATGATGTAAGTTTATAATGAATCTATAAACTTGCTGTACAAAATGGTTGTTATATAAAATCCAGCCTATATTACAAAACTGTACCTAAAATAAATAATTGATTCCAACACTTAAAGTTAGTGGAGTTAAAGAAAAAAGTTTTGAGTTTAGAGGTTGGAAGAATGAAGCAATAAATAAAATATACTGACTTGTATCTTGTATCCAAGCAGACTGGAGACTTTTCTTCTTTATAATAATGTCAAGACCCCTATACAGGCAGGTAGGTGTAACAAGACATCCACTCATAACATCCGCCTTTTAATACCACAACACCCACCAGTCTAATAACACCACACCACCGTCTAATAACACCACACCCACCGTCTAATAGCATCACGCCCTGGGTTCTAGCTATAGTTTCAACGAATGACAGTCAATAAATCTTTGGTCCTTATTCCCCATTGGTTAAACCTCGTATTATTTTATTGCTAGGCCTACTTGGTGAATCGAATTATATTTAAAGCAGCTTCTACGTGTGCGAAAACAGGACACCGATGCCTATCCTGATAGCCTGGCTTTAAGTCTAGCCCTTAATATAGTCATACATATAACCTATCTTGACTATAGCCAATCGCCCTAGCTTATACTATAATCCTAATTTTTTACAGCGATATCGACATCAGTTTCTTGATACTATACTCATTTGTCGGCGTTTTGGAAGAAACAAAAGTTACGTATTTTTTACTTTCTCGTATACGAAGTATAGAGGAAGTATTGCATTTTCCCCGTATGTTTGTGTGTGTGTATGTATGTGTGTATGTGTGTCTGTGACCACGATAACTTGAGTACCGTTACAGCTAGGTTGATGAAATTTCATATATAAGTATTATATTAAATTTTAGTTCTGTTTCAACTTTTCAGCGATTTCCGATAACCGGAAGTGGAACTTATTCTACGTTCAAGTTTTCAAAAGCCTATAACTTGAGTATTGTTTCAGATAGATGAATGAAATTTCACATGTAGGTAAAAGATCTCATTTTCTGCCTTTTGTCCAATTTTGAGTAATTTCCATATATTGGAAGTAGTAATTCACGCTATTTCCAAATTCTCAAATAAACGGATATGAATTTATAAAGTACTAATATTCCGCACTATTATACACATATGTTATATGAGAATATTCGAGAAAGTTTAGGGGAGATAACTCCCGCTGTTTTTTTTTAAAGATCAAGTAATTCTTGACATTTTATAGGGTTTAACTCTGGAGCTTCTGTCGCGCAGGGTCAAACAAGTTGCATCAAATGATCAACTCCGATAGCAGTTTCTTTGAGAGAAATAAATTTATAGAAATTCCAAACATAAACAACAGAACAACAATCAGAAGATGACATTTTTATAGTCAGCAACAAGTTTGGGTGTATTGCAACCCCAAGCCTAACAGCACAGGTTCTAAGCCAACATAGCACAACTTAATCAAGTGCACCAACCCTGACCAATCCTTGCCTTGACTTTTGACCCATGTATGCACTGGTCATGATTTCAGCCCTAACTAAAATGATACCGAGAACAAAAATGAAACTGCATTGAAATGGGATTTGGTGATTGGGAGATGACTTTTAAAAAATCACGTGAACTGTGCACACATTCTATAACCAAGCACTAAACTATGAATAGAGAGGCGTTTTAAAAAATAAAATACACGACGTCCTTTATGTTTAAGTGGTCATCCATAAATGACGTCACGCTTTTTTTTGACGATTTTTACCTCCCCCCCCCTCCCCTCCGTCACACGTCGTCACAAAAAGCCAGACCCTCCCCCTAAAATGACGTCACACCTCAACCTACAACCCCCCTAAAAATTGCAGTTGAATTTTTTTAAAAACATCGATATTTTTTTCTAAAATCTTGTCTAAACTATTACAATTTATTAAAACAGTTATCTAAAAAGCGAAATAACGTCCAAAATTCGTTTTCTAACATTGATTTTTTATAATTCAAAAGTGTGACGTCGCAACATCTGACCCCCCCCCCCCCTCCCCCTCATCACTTATCGTCACAAAATTACGGACCCCCCTCCCCCCTACGAATGTGACGTCATTTATGGATGACCCCTAACCCCTTATTAAATAGATTAAACATGGGCAATTTTTTGTGACGTCACACCTTATATTCAACGAAGAGCTCCAGTTTTAATGACTCTCTGCGATCTACTTTAATCTTGAAATGTGTACGGTTACAAAAAGGCGGATTTCAAATTTGTGTTAGTAGGCGTGGGGTTGTCTCGACTCATGCAATGTCAACATCACGGTCATTTCGTCTGGCTGCTCGTGTTACTGTTCGTTCGCCCGCTACAGGCCAGGTATCAAAGATATCATCGAACCTACTGCCGGTTTAAGCCGGGATGTTTGACAAGAAGGTGTTTATTTATTGATACTTCCTTCTAAATTTGTTTTGAATGAGAATGAAAATTAGACATTTTAAAAGTCACACAGAAATAGATTTGGCTACGCAACTTTTTTAAACATCTAAGTTAAAATATTATGTTAAAACCAAGGCATAATTTTATAAAACAGACATTATTTTTAGAATAGTAGCTTTTTCGAAAAAAAAAGTACAATTTAGAATACAAATAAAGATTTGTACATCTTTTTATGTTATGTTAATAGTGGATTTTTTTTTTTCATATTGTGATACTATTCAAAATGTAAACAATTCTAATTTAACTCTAACTTGAAATAAACTCATCGCGTTTGTATACCATGTCAATTTAAATTAGCACGTTTTTTACCAAAATACATCTACAATCTACAATGTCCCTTACAGTAAATTTCACCGTGACATATGATAGCCTGCTGAGATAGGCGAGGCGTTACCAACTGACACGTTTGTCAAGTTTATTCAACCAAACTGCAACACCCTATTCACATCGAACCAAATCTCATGAACGACAAGTCAAATACACCACTCAATAGCTTAGCCGACATGTCATCTGAAGCGAGGCACACGTTTGGAAAACCCGGTCTACCGCCTGTTTACATTCTGTAGCAAGTGGTTCAATCAAGGAAATTTTTTAAAAAGATGTATTCAATCTTCACAATGTAAGTAAACAAATAACACAATCATCCGTGTTTTTATTTATTTATGACGTCATTTCCCCGACTTATTTATGGGTAATGCGAGAAGCCATTAGTGTGCATGGGTTTTAACATCGCAGAGTCAAGAGTAAAGGGTAGACAGGAATATCAACATACTCCATTAAAGGAAGTTATGCACCATCTTCAAAGTTAAACGAATTAATGCATAAACAACTCACCCAAAGTCCGACCTCATGCGACCCAAATCTGGATCTAGAGGCTCGCTGTGTGGTATATATATTTATATTTATAAATATGTATAAATATGCTATATTTCGCTTTTATAGACTTCTTCTTGTAAATACATAGACCTACAGGCTCGCTGTGTGGTATATTTCATTCACCATTGTCTTCTTGTACAATACTAGATCTAGATCTAAAGGCTCGCTGTGTGGTATATTTCACTTTCATAGTCTTCTTCTTATACAATAGTAGAGGTCTCAGTTTAGTTTAAACCGAGGGTTAATTATTTATTGGTTTCTATTTTCTGTATCTCAAACGCCGCTACTTTACTTCTCTCTTAACACCAAGTGTAACCACTACCTCTAGCTTACATCAAGTGTAACCATTACCTCCAGCTTACATCAAGTACTCCCAACGAACATCTCTTACATCGAATGAAACTACTTACCATCTCTTTTACATGAAGTGAGATCAGTTAACCACTTTCATCAACTTCTCAAGATCTACCACCCTGTCCTTTATGCATATGTATCCAAAAGCTAAAAGCTAATGTGAAGCTAGGCAGTACGTTGAATATATATATATATATATATATATATATATATATATATATATATATATATATATATATATATATATATATATATATATATATATATATATATGTATATATATATATATATATATATATATATATATATATATATATATGTGTGTGTGTGTGTGTGCGTGCGTGCGTATGTGTGTGTGTTTGTGTGTGTGTGTGTGTGTGTGTGTGTGTGTGTGTGTGTGTGTGTGGAGGTATGTATCTGTCTTTGTGTGGGTGTCTGTGTGTGGATATATTTTACTCTTTAGTAACCTAAACTTTGTGTGTCCGTATTTATATTTAATTCTAAAGTTTAACTCAAGCTTAATCCCAACACAATCGCGGACCTCAGCCGTGACCACTATATAATTATTACTACAATAAAAAGTAATAGTGACACTTTTAAATAGGTCTTTTTATATTTTTATATTTGAAGACTTCGACTGAAGAGCAACAAGCACCTCTCCGAGGCCCGTACACACCACTGGTACCAGCACCATCGGGAGACGGTAGATCGGGGTCCCCCACTGTTCCAGATGGATCTAATCGTCTCGATGTCCACAGCGCTTCTCATCCTCTGCAGGCTTACAATCATGGGCTGAGCACTGGGCTGCAGGGAACCAACCAGACGAGCCATGGGCTGCAGGGAACCAACCAGACGAGCCATGGGCTGCAGGGAACCAACCAGACGAGCCATGGGCTGCAGGGAACCAACCAGACGAGCCATGGGCTGCAGGGAACCAACCAGACGAGCCATGGGCTGCAGGGAACCAATCAGACGAGCCATGGGCTGCAGGGAACCAATCAGACGAGCCATGGGCTGCAGGGAACCAACCAGACGAGCCATGGGCTGCAGGGAACCAATCAGACGAGCCATGGGCTGCAGGGAACCAATCAGACGATGGAAGCTTTGACCCTTGAAGCAGAGTTGGTCTTAAAACCTCTGGAACTCTGCTCACGGTCTGACATCAAAGTGGCCAGCAGCATCACCACCGCGGCAAAGAACAGCAGCCAGAGTCTTCGCTTCGACCCAGATGTAACGCCTTTCCCGCTCTTTAGCTTCGAGTTGGCCAATGAAAAGAGCCCCGCCATGCCACGCGTTAACACGTTTGGTCTGGCACCAAGTTTGTTAGGTCGAAGGTCATCTGAACCACTCGTCAACAGATGCGAAGGAACGGAGGCTAAAGACAGCCAGTGTAAAGCTTTTGCAGCAACTGTACGATCTCCCATATGCAAGTCCTGCTTCTGTCCAGCAGCTAGAGTTGCCACAACGGCTGAAGGTTCGCATCACATCCCCGCAGAGAGTCAGGTTAGATGTCAGCCTGCTGCAGGCGCGGTCACTGCCAAGTTACCCGACGCCTTCGGTGATATCCCTAAAGAGATCAAAGCTAACTCTGAGGAAACTACGGCCATCAATCCGGCTTCTGGGGATCTACGCAGCACCCCCGTGGCCAATCATTCAGAAGAGGAGTGCTGTAGGATATGTCAAGACGATGGCACTTATGAGAAACTTGTCTCACCCTGCTATTGTTCTGGAACTGTCGGGTTCGTGCACATGTCCTGTCTGGAGACCTGGCTGGGCCTCAACGGCCGGACAGCCTGCGAGCTGTGCTCCTATCCGTTCCCTGTGGTCAAGATCCACCCCACCATCTGGCAGTACTTCAGGAGACCACTGGTCAACATGGACTTTGCCAGCCTGCTGTGCGACATCGCGTGCTTCTGCGTCCTCACCCCCCTGCTGGTGGCCAGCACCTACCTGTGCAGCATCGGCGTGGCACACTACGAGGAGGTGGGTAAGACGGGCTCCGTGTTTGCCATCGTCACACTGATGATCTCCCTCATCGCCGTCTACATCTCCTGGGCTGTCCTTGCCGTCCTCTACCACCGCCGCGTCTTCTTGACGTGGAGAGAAAAAACCGCGCAGATCCGGATGTGGACTGACAAAACGCCCCCGCCCATGCCACGGAAGTGCCCAGACACCAGCCACGAGCAGGCGCACCGAGAGGACCCATCGCCCGCGGGCCGGATTCTCGGAGGTATGCACGTGTTCCTGCGGCCAATGCTCTGGTACTCCAGTAACATGCGGCCCACGGCAAACTTAGCGGCAAACGGTAACGGCAATGCCAACATAAACTTGATCCCTATCCATCTGCCTCACGTCCAACATCTGTGTTAAGATTTGATTTGCTGCGGGACCATTACTTCAAGGTACTGTGCTATTTTTAAGCCGTCAAGATGTTAATATACAGCATCATATGTAAAGGCCGGGGCCGTAGTAGGATTTAAAGTCAATGAACTTATGCAACTTGAGCAGCCAGCAGATCTTAAAGTAGCGCTACTTGAAATATAAACGATTGCCTTATAGCCACCAGTCAAACTACGTAAACCAGCGTTGGTCTTTCAACACCGTGTTACATCAGCACATGCAATAGGTCAGCTTAACGTTTATGTCTTTTGATGATAAAAAGCAAATGTTTATAATAAAAAATGAAACTGGTCACTTTTCTTCTGTTGTTTGTTATTAAAGAAAAGGTTTACAAATTAAATTTGAATGTTAGCTTTACAATGGTAAATCATAGCTCTACGGGGATGTATGTCAACTTTGCAAGGGTAAATGATAGCTTTACAAGGATGGATGTCAGCTTTACAAGGGTAGAGGATAGCTTTACCAAATGTGATTTCAGCCTTGCAAGGGTGGGTGTGGATGACAGCTTTACAAACAGGGTCTTTACAATGGTGGAAAATAGCTTTAAGAGGGTGGATGTTAGCTTTACAATGGTTGATTGCAGCTTTACAATTGCGGGTGTGAATATCACCTTTATACGTGTGGATGTAGATATCAGCTTTAAAAGGGTGGATGTTAGCTTTACAGTGATGAATAATTATACAATGGTTGATGTCAAATTTACAAGGGTAGATGACAGCTTTACAACGGTGGATGTCAGCTTCACACGGATTGACGATAGCTTTACAAGGGTGATATATATCCCATAAAAAACTTTCAGGCAACATCCTGGCTATATTGATGTTTTATCTAAATCAACGCAATGTAAGTGTAAAAATAAAAACTTCTAGTTCTATAAAGTAAGAATTGGGTATATATAATATTTTTAATCACATTTTTTTTGTTTTCGTCGTGGTGATTGTCAGATTTTAATCAGAATAAGGACATGGGGGTAAAGTTAAAGGTACAAAATTATAATAATCTTGTCCTTAAAACAAAAATACGAAACCTTAGTTAATAAAACTATTCAAGGGATGTTACTCTAAACCTTCTTTTTTTTATTTACCCTGACTACCATGTAGCATGGCCTATATAAATATTAGTATTAGCATATTTATAGTGATGTGATAATGGGTGTAGTAAAAGTATAGTTATTAGAATAGTCTCTAGTCTAGAGTTTATATCCTACCTACTCATGTACCAGTGAACAGAAAACTACAGAACAGTACTACTATTACTTAAATTACTAGTCGAGTCTAGCTAGATCTTGAATCTTGATTAATGATTATCAAATTTATCAGATTAATGATTATCCCTTGAAAAAGTTGAAAGTCTAACTAAACTACTAAACTTTAATTTAAACTAAATTACTTAAAATTAGGGTCTACTTTTCTTTCTTTCTTTTTTAAATGATGTATTATTATTGGGAAACAAAAGCGAATTTTCAATATGTTTTTAGTTTTTACATATAGGCTAATTAAAAAAAAATTCTAATGACTAGGCCCCGGCCCTAATGATAAATTATGAAATAAGGGCAGGGTGATTCTTTTAGACAAGGTCCTATTTATTTACTGAACTAATTGCATAGAATTAAATATAACTTATGGCTTATGATAATCTATAAAATTCAAAAAATAAAATGAATTAAAGATATTGTTTTAAAATACTTTCTTTAAGGAAACAATTTGAAAAGCAACTGCTCTAAATTGTAGTTGATCCTCTGCAGATTTTATATATAATATAGGCTGATTTGCAAAATGGAAAGAATATCCTATACATTTTCAAATAATTAGAGATGATAATATTTGTTTAATAATACAAAAAAAGGTGAGGAAACTGAATAAAGTAAGTCTAGTCAGATTTAGTCTACAGGCTGCTTTGGCCTTTAAAGTTAGACCTACTATTCTTTTTTATCGATTATTTTTCTTAGGACATTTAACAATTTCTTTAAAGAATATTTATCAAACCTGGCGGTCCATGGGACAGACGAAGTAGCCCTAGGGTTGAACTGTTTATGAGACTTCAGCTTAAGAAGGGACCCTAAAATAGATCAGTGCTTAACATTTTCAAATTAAATCTTTAAATTCCGAGATTTTTAAAACTGAATTTTTTACTTTATTTTAGATTCATTGAAATTTTCATTTTTAAATATTAATTCTAATTTGTTGATGGGATGGCGTGGTTGTATTATAGTGCCCACAACCTCTAGCTCAAAAGACTATAGTTCAGTCCTCTAGTTCAGTCATAAATAGGTGAACTCTACTTCATCTGCCTTATGGATCTGCCAGGTCCTAATGTAACTAATGTTCACTTTTAGATTCCAGTTTTCCTCCAGTTAGTGTGGCATTATTTTAAATCTCTGGTAAAGTACAAGTGTTTGTGGTATAAAAATATGCACACACTTTTCATACTGTTATGCATATACTAGAATGTTGTATCTTAAAAGTTACAAACCAAAGCTCTTTCCATCAGAGAGTAATTCCGTTGCATTCAATAGCATAACTTTTTCTCTGACACTTGAAAAAAGTATATACTTTATATATAAAATAAATATTTCTACTGTGGAATGGTGTGGTGTACAGACTTCAGGTTGGGGAATAACATTGTTTAGTTGTTAATTATTTAGGACATCCACAAAAACTTAGCAGACCTCTCAAAACTTTTTTCCAATGTATTAATTATAAATAAATTTTATGTTTTTTGCAATGCTATTAATTGATGCATTAATAAGTGGAATTTTTATTTTTCTGAAATTACTATACCTAAGTAGAAATTAAAATATGTTGAAAAACATGAACAGTATGTTTTAAACTAAAATTATAAATAAGCCCTATATGATTGATAAGTGCTTGAGTTATTTTAATGTTTTTTTCCCCTGTAAGCAAAGAGCTCTGCAGAGTATTAAAAATTAAAATGTTAACCTACATGCCTTATAATGTAAGCTGTAAGGCCACCTCGGATGCATGTCCTCCAACTATATTTACATTAATTACTCATTGTATAATGTGCATACATAAATTCTACTTCACACTCCTGGGAGTGGGGGTTCAAAATTTCGAGATGATGAGTGAGGTTATATGAGGGGATTCATAATAAGTAATGTAGTACTTTTGCAAATAAACAATAGAAAATGAGTTTCGGCCGTAAAGAATTTTACATTATTAATTGAAAAAATAATTTTGTAAATTGTAATAAAAATTGATCAGTAAACCCATTGTTGAACAAGCTCAGTATTATTTTGGAAAGAAATTGTTTCTTTAACATAAATATTTTTAAGAGGGAGTTGGGTCAAAGGCTTATGTGACTCATTTTGTGGGTAGAGGTTCTGGCTTTTTGTGACAATGGGGGAGGGGGAGAAAGATTATTAAAAAGTAAGAATTCTTTTTAAAATAAGCGCTGTCGATTTAATTTATATATTGACTAAGCCGGTTAAGAGTTTTGTTTTGTTTGTGGACGTAATAAATGGGCCACCGCTTGAAAGACAATATATAAAGGGAAACTAGTACTACTATATAAGAACAAAGGGAAACAACTAGGAAAATACTATATTTTGTAAATTTATTTGGCTATTTCCTTTTGAGCTTAATTTTCTAATTTTTTTTTTAGTATTGATTTTTTTCCCTATTTCGACAGCTTTAAAGTGCAATATTTAATTAATATTTTGTGCTAGGATTGTTTTAAAAAACGGGACTATTAATAAAAAGCGGGACTATATTCATACAACGTTACATTTTATTGTAGATTTGAACATGTTATAACAATTTTACTGTAAATGGGTTTTTTTTCCTTAGTGTCACAAATTAAGGCTAAATGCCTAAAGCTATTAATTTTTAAAAATTAGAATAAAATCTGCATTTTTTATGATCAAAGGGAAATGATCCCCAATCTTAATTATTAATAAGATTGCCATAATTTATCTTCACAAATTCTCAACGTTCATGTGATTCTCTAGCTGCCTCCCCTTACTATCGATGGGTGCTTGTTTTCAGCAGGCATTTACATTGATGTGTCATGGCCAAACTAGTGAAGTTGAAATAATGTATACTCGTCTTATCATGCTTAATCTGAGTTAAAAACATTCGAAACTAGAAAAATTAAGCCCTTAAATTTTGAGAAGATTGCTCCTAAATATTGACGATGTAATTATGTTCACCCTGTGTTTTCGAGGCTTGATAAATTAAACGTGATAATAATTTTACTTTGTATCTTATACGTTAATGAGCAGGACTTTGTTACTAAAGGACAGCCTAAAAACACTAAGAAATCATGTACTATAAGTGATCAAAGGGGAGTAAGTACGTAGAGACTAAAAGTTTAAAATGTATTTATTTGGTTGCTTCCCATGGGCCGAAAAAAATAAATGCATTCAGTTTTCAATTACTTTTGATAATTTTCTTTCGAACGTAAACAATGATTTTAAATTTAAAATACAAATTGCAATTGTAAAAATATGATATTCTGTAAATTATTTCTAGTCGTTCGGCGTTTAATAATCACTGTTTAATTTCAGTTGGGACAAGCAAATTCTATCTCTTTTTTAAAGTCTCACATTTGGCTGTGTAAGATTTGGACCCGATAGATTAAAATCTCGCACAATCGAAGGTGTGCTGTACTTTACCAGCAGCAACCTATATTGTTTCCATTAATTATTGTTGATCTGGGGAATTGCACAAGTTCAAGAAAAACTAACTTACTGTCATTAATTATCCAGGTTCTGTAACCTACAAAATTCTCCGTTGCTTTGTTATAAAATCTTTACAATTGGTGACATTTGTTGTGAGTAACTGTAAATATTAAATTTAAGTTAAAATTATTTTGAAGAACAACAACAAACATGAGCAACTAACCAACAAACTATTATTTTATTACTTTTATTATTGTATGAATAAGGTCAACCAGCATGTGTATAATATACATTATGTACATGAAAAAACTTGAATCTGATTATGTACCAGTCCACTGCATTCAACTGAAACCATCCACACCTGCAAACTAACTGATCACAACCAGTTTTTTGTTCAATATCACACCAATAACCAAGTATGTAATTCATAACATAATTTACTACAGAAATGTGATTTTTTAAGCAAAATAATTTAATTACTAGTTGTCTAATTAAAAAAAAACACTACATGGCTGAGCTATGCAACAAAATCTTGTAATACTGGTCAATGCAAAATCTATAGCTCCGTCAATCCTATTCTTTAAGCTCGTTGGAAATGTACACTGTACTGTGATGTCCCCTATTTTATATAATGGTTTGATTTTTTCACT